TTCTTTGGTTCTTCTGTCATCAGCGCCTTCCCTTCTTGGCTCAAGAGGCCCTTCTTTCCTCTCTTGAATTCTTCCTTGATTTCCGCTGCGGTCACTGGCGATTCCCACCTGCTGTGGCATAGCTTGCAGGTGATGTAGGAAGCGGACTTGTTTCCCCCTCCCTTGAGCTGAGCCTTCAGGTGGATGCAAGTGCTGGCGGACACCGTAGGTGCTTCCTTGCTCTTCAGGGCAGAGAGAGGCTTGGCAGTGAGGATGATCTTGCTGTAGGCGGTCTCGAGATTGTCCTCCTCCTGCTTTGACAGAGGCATAGATTGCTCCGAATGTGAGAGCGAGGGGAACCATTCGTAGACCAAGCTTCGCCTTTCGACGAACAGCATGAGGATGAAGATTTTGTCCATGATCACCCTCCAGTTCCTGAGTGCCAGCTTGGGTCTTCGAGCTTGTCCTTTCATAGTCACGTCCTCCGACTTGGGAGGTTTCTCTGCCACACTCCCCATCGCCCTGCCCAAGCGCTCGACGATGCCAGCCATCATGGTCGAGTGGTGTGGGACACGGTTTCTCCAAAACCTGGGCACGAGGATGTTGAGAGAATTGAGCCAACATGTCTCGTTGAGGTTCTCTCCAACCAAAATCTTCTTCTGAAAAAGGTGCCTCGTTTGGAACTCGAAATCCACCGGAAGGAAACTGCAAAATGTCGATGGTGACGTGTCCGCTTGGCATTTCATGCAGTGGCAGCTCAATGCCTTCTCTTGGTAAAATATATTTGTACTGCTTAAAAAACCAACGACTTGCAAGCCCTTCAACAGCTTCACTGGTAATAGGAGAGGGACTTCACCTTTATACCACTGTGGCTTCCAGCAAACCATTCAATCCCGCTATACCCAACGGAACCATGGCAGTTCCAACGACTTGAGCTTGTCCTCCAATTCCTTTGGCTAGCGATTGCCTGGGGACCCATTTGATCTTAAGCCCATGATCTTGTAATCGGTGTTCAAGTCGTTGAAGTGCCTTGGTGCCTACCAACCCACCTGCAGTGTCTACAACCCCAACCTCGGATTTAGTGACGATCCCACAGAAAGAATCCGCTGCATCAACCTTGTACTCGGACGAGTCTGAGGGACGGTTGATGAGACACTGTGAGGCGGATTGGTGCCTGCCTTCGACGTGCAGTGTGCTCTTCACCACTTTCAAAATAAAAATCTTTTGCACACTCTGAACTGCCGACATGGCGTTCCCCTGCACTACAAAGAGACCAGCTCTGGATGACGAGCCGGAGATTTGAGAGGGCGCCGTTGAAGTGCTGCTGCTCTTTGGCTTGTCCGGGTTCTGGTTGGTGCACTCTCTACTCAAGTGGCCAAGTGCCCCGCATCGCCAACAGCGCGTGCGGAGTTTCAACTGCTCGACATGCACCCTTTGTTTTCCTTTTCCTTTCCCTCTTTGCCACGGCCTTTCACCAAAGCCCTTGCCCTTGAAGGAGTCGCGGCCGTAGTAGCCTCTTCCGTTTCTTTGGTTCTTCAAAGCTTCTCTGACTTGCTTGTAACTTGCCAGTGCTTCCAACATCTCTTCTTCTGAGTAGATGGCGTCATTGGTATGCACTGGCCTTTTTGCGTCGTATGTTTCATGTAAATCCAGACTTGGCACTTAAATTCCTTCAGGCCGTCACGCAGCATGAGGGTCCCGCCATTGGGCCTGCAGGGGCCTTAGCCCGATATCTTCGTCATGTTGGTTGGTCCCTGGCCCCTGATGGTCGTCTGACTCTTGACGGTCATCTATCTGTCTCCGTTCGATATGATGCCCTCAAAATTATCCGTCAACAATTGCGTTTGGCTTGGGCTTACCAGATTAATCGAAATATCTGCCATAGAAAGGGAGTCATGGATCATCCCTTTGACTTCGTGATCCTCTCCCGGGTCTTGCGTAAGATGCCTTCCGCTGCAGTCCGCTCAATTGCCTATAACCTAACCGGTGGCTATCAGGTAGGTGCCGTTAAGGCTTTGTGGTCTGCTACCACCGATGCACGCTGTCCTTATTGCGACCAACTCGACACTCACACGCATCAGCAACTTGAATGCCCAGCTGTTCAGGAGATTCGAGATCGACATCCACGAGCAGTGACCTATTTGCTTAATAATCCACATAAAATATGGCTCCCCCTCCCAGGCGCATTCCCCCACATCACCGAATTGCGTCAATTACTCACGGCGCGAGGCCAGGACACCGGCCACACGCACATTCGCCAGGAAGCAGATGTTCTATATTTTTACACCGACGGGTCAGCAGATACCCCCCTTCACCCGGAGACCAGAAGAGCCGCGTGGTCTGTCATCCAGTTTCGACCCGAATCCATCCAAGATCCATTCCTTACCATCAAGATTCAACATGTCCAAGGTCCACAATCCATAGCTCGAGCTGAACTCGCGGCCGTCGCGTGGATTATTCAGCACGCCGCTAACAACAATTGGTCTCAACAAGTCGTCATTACGACCGATTCCCAGTATGTCATCAATACCATTGGCCACATTACCCAACCAGCTCGTTATCCCTCCTGGCATCGCCTGGCCAATGCTGACTTACTTCAAATCATCGCACATTCGTGGTCTCCGTCAAAATTTGTCCTTAGAAAGGCTCGATCTCATCAGAATATTCAGGATGTCCCCCCAGGCCCGGAACGCGATGATGTTCATGGCAACTCATGGGCTGATTATGCCGCGGTTATGGCACGTAAAACTGATCATACCCTTGTGCATTCTTTGTTCCAGACAGCTGCCATTTGGCATCGCGATCACTTTGACCAGACTCAGGCCATCTTGAACTACCTCGCTGATCTCAACCAGCATCATGCTAGTCTTAAGCAGGCCCAGTCTCTAAAGACCTCTGGTCCCACCCATCATGATCCCACGGCAGATTGGGGTACCCTGTTCCGCCAGCGCGAATTGTATAAGATCTCGCATGCTCCCGTCTGTTTGACCCCTCTGGTTCACCCAGCCTTTATCACTGCATGTGTATGGGGAAATCAGTATGCTGACCTTGTCTTTAAGATTCTGTGCTAGCCTAAAATGGCCAGACCCGGACGTGCATCCACCAGACCTTGAGGCTGACACAGGTATCACATGGCATGAACTAGCCTTGGCATTCATTGTCAACACAGGCCTACAATTTCCGACATGGGTTCGCCAGACTGTCCAAGCTCGTGCGCAACCTGTCCATTGGCAAGATCCTTGTGTGTTAGCCCTCCCTATCACTCGGAGATCTTTACGGGAACAAGCCGAAGCCTTTCGTACCATTGTCCTTTACCTTCAAGGCTATGCCGATACACCCTTGGTACCCAAATATTCTAAAACCGGGTCGCTTAGCCTCACACAGGTGGGATGGGGACGATCATATACAGGTGGCTTTGCATCCCGTCCGGAACTCCCTAACTGTGGCGCCGTTCAACGGACACTTGTCCTTTACACAGAACATTTGCATTGTAAGCCACCGTACCATCCTGATGGCCTGGTACCCATGCGTCACGCAGTCACTCATTTTCCTATTGTGCCTGCGCAATCGCTTACATTCGAACAGAAATTTAAATATCGTCGCAATCTCCGCAAAGTGTGGAACAAGAATGGCGACCTTGATTCAGTCACGATCCCAGCACCTAATTAGGAATTTACCTTTGAGCACCCTACGAGCAGCGCGGACATTCGGTTTCACGTAGATAGTTGTCTCACATGGTAGCCTCATTGCAACGTCTTTATCCGACAAAGTGATACTGACCCCACTCCCGGACACCCACCAATACGGTGAAGGGTCGCGGGAAGCGCGTCGACAGCGAGCGCAAGTTGTGTGAGTAGATGGCGTCTAAGTCCCCTTCGGCAACAAAGATATAGTCCTCGCCATCTTCCTCTTCAGCCTGGATGTACGCTTTGTTCTCAAAGGCGTCCTCGGTGTCGATGATGTAGGAGCTCTTCCCTTTTGTCTCTTTGATCACTCTGTCAAGCTTCCTGAGCGCCTTCACGATGGATGATTTGTCATACTTCCCATCGCACCAGGTGAGCAGCCTCTGGTCTTGGGCTTCGCTCAAAGAAGCTTGCCTGTAAAGGATGTATCCTGAGGTCCCCTCAGGAAGGTCCACTCCTTCTTTGCTCAGCCTGCTGAAAGCTTTCTCCATCCTGGCTATGTACTCTGGAAAGCCCTCGGATGACTGTCGTGCCTTCCCATACACGGCAGTCTCGAAAGCCCTCGGCAGCGACACCTCCAGGTGGGGTAAACAGAACTCTTTGAGGCGACTCATGATGTTTCTAACTCCATCTTCGGTGGCTATCTCCTCAAAGGTCATCTCTTCCAAACTGTGCCATGCCGGACAACGCTCGAAGAAGCTTTGCCCCCTGCTTCCGTCGAGGGATGTCCGTCTCAAAGCACCACAACCTGACACTCTTTTCGAATGTCCTGAAAGTCCCCTCAGGGTCCAGTCCGTCATATATATTGCGGAGGCGGATCCCTGTCTTTGGGAGCGTCTCGCTCCCGCTCTGGCTCTTCACCATCAGCAGCTGTCCTCTGAAGCGCCCTTCGGTCTCTAGGTGGTCTTCGTGTCGAGGTCTCTTCTTCTTCGGCGGAGTCGAACTCGGGCATTGGGCGACCTGGAGCGACCTGGCTCCGTTACCACTGTGAGTGGTAGCGGGAACCTACGGTCAAGCAAGCAGCTCAAATACGTTTTCCATGGCCGAACGAAAGTGAGCTCGCACGACGTTAGGGCCCCTCCAGTTCGAGGGAAAACATCCGCAGAGAGACGGGGTCAACCTTCACTCACACATGACATCTTCATTTGACACAATTATATCTCTTCATCCGTAGTCATCCTCGAGCAGAAAAAAAGCAACTTGGCGACAAAGGGGAAAGAACAACATGTAGTGGACGGGTCAACCTGTCGTTACATCTTACCTATAGAGCTAATTAAAAGGTACGTTTCGAACCGTAGAAGCCTGTGGTCTGTGCAAAGTCTCCATACACCAAGCAGCTGGAATTGCGCTGGAGACGGGCAAGCAAACCTGTACCGGGTTGTTCAAATTGCTCGACGGTTGGAACACCACGCCTCGGATCGCGGCTGTCCACCAGGTGCCCTGGTACTCAGGAGATTCTGCCTTCAGTTTTGTCAGAAACAAATCGATTTGTCTTTCATTGGTCCTCTTTGTGGAGAACTAGCAATCTGATTGTGGCCACGTGCAGGGTACTTCCCTCCCAGAAATCTTGGTTTCAGGGTCACCTTGTGGACTCTTTCGGACGAAGAGACACCGTGGACCTTCCAAAGGTGTCCAGAAACTATCTGTGATGGTACACCACCTGGTGGGAGGAAGATGGAAACCTGAAAGCAACTGCAGTGGATTTCTGAGAGGAAACAATCAACTTCCCAAGGGTCCATCAATAGCTTCCTTCTCTTGACTCGCCAGTGCGGACTCCGCGATCTTGTGGGATGCAGGGATGCAAGCAACTGTTCGTTGCAGTGCAACTTGCTTATTTTTTCTCCAGAGCCTGCAAGGATCCTCCAATTGTGTAGAGCCAGCTGGTGGATCGAATTCATCCGACATGAGGATTCTTGGTTTGCCGCATTGCCAGGGTTGGGAGGTGAGATGTTATGTAAAGATAAAGGTTGTAAACAGGGCCCGGCCGGCATACTGTATCTAAAGATCTAAAGCTTATGTTCGATGCTTGTCACTGCAATCTTCAGCAAATCTATCATTCCACTCCCCATGGACAATGGACACCAAGGACACTTGTGTCTATTCCCAGTCAATCCCCTACAGGAATTTGTTGAAAGGAGAAAACCCGTATCTAAAGCTATCTAAAGCTATCTAAGCTCATTCACTGTCTCCCTTTAAAAGCTCCTACACTGCAAAGCTCTAACACACGTCTCGCACATCCACACTCCCGCGTTACGCTCCAACCCAAAAAACGAACCGAACGCCAACAAAAACAAGCAAAACATATCAATGTATAGATGGGGGGGCTTTCAGTCCCCTTATCATTCCGGGGTGGGTGGGGATGGCAAAACACTCACCAAGCTGCAGTCTCCCACAAGCTGGCCAATGTACTTGCTCTGGAACCTCAGAAGAATCCGTACTGGACTCGTGATTCAGACATCAGCGAGCGATGAAGTTCAAGAATCGTGCCGGTCGACACCCGCAAAAGTCCATATAAAATCATTCGGAGGCTACCCGGCTACCCCTAATGAAGCAATCAACCTCCAGAAGTGGATTTAAGATCGAATAAGCCAAAAACCAGCCCAAAGATTAAGAACATGTTCTTGCTTCCAAACGGTGGATTTGCGTGGCCCCAATGCCCCAATCAGCCCAGCTGTTGGTTACATGTTTCCCTGGAATTCACGTCCTTTTTTCTTGGCCGATCCAGTCTTCAAGTCAAGTCTATACGTCTGAAGCCAGTGACTGAATCACGGTGTAGCAGGCTGCCGTCAAGGAATCTGCCAAGGATCCAGTGGTTGCCAACCTGGACTGCTGGATGCGATGGTTCATGCTGTTCTTGAACGAAGGGGGGCAAGGATGGGCTCCCCAAAAATGACAGGTCGATGATATAATAGTGATAGCATTATACAGCTATAATTATATACAGCTATTAGATGCTATTAGATGGACTCATGATGCCGCAACACAAATTCCCAGTACGTCGACTCCATACATCGGATCGGTTCTCTCCGTTGACTCCAAGCGGTCCATCGGGTCTCTGATCGTTTCAGAACTCCTGTTTGACTTTCGTGTATGCTCCAAAAGAGGGCTCAAAGCGAACGCTAGCTGTTCGTATTTTCTGCCCCAGAATCCCTCGTGGATTCGACCGTTTCCTGTGACGTGTGCCATTTGAGCGGCAAGTTGGTGGTGAGGACGCTGGCTGCTCAATTTGAGCATAACGAGGAGAAGAGCACGGAGCCCACCGTGGCACCGACGGCTGAGGGCATCGAGGTCCAAAGCCCGCAGGCTCATCAAGCAAAGCAAAGGGGCCACTCACCTGCCCCAATTTACAAGGGAGAGATTGGTGAAGGCTCGACGACTCCTTCGAGAACACCATTCGTACGTAGTGCCAGCTGGACAGCCAATGGGTGGATAGTCTGGCTCGGGCAAGGGCAAGCAAAGGCCATGGTGGAACTAATGGCAGCAACAGCAAATACCTCAAGGGGGGGCAAAAAAGAAGCCAGACAAGAACAAGAAGCAAGAGAAAACAGAGCAAGGCAAAAGTGGAGGAGATTTGTTCCCTACTTACGAATCCTTGCAGGCTTCGTCCTCTACATCCAAGGAGGGTACCCCTATAGCGAGGTTGCGACGCTGAAGAAAGAAGTAAGGCAGTTCTTGGAGGCCAGATCTATTACGATAGACGAGCACTTGACAGACCTGCTGCAGACTGGGGACCCAATGGAGGATGTCAGACAAGAACAAAGGGCCCTGAACCTGAAGAAGAAGCTCCTGGCCAAGATGGACAAGCTTCGGACGAAGCGCCAGGAGAAGCAGGAAGCATGGAGCAAATTTCTGGACCTCTTAGAAGAGCACCGGAAGAAAGAAAAGGTCAAGCACCAAGAAGACCTCCGGGCTCTCAACGAGGCCATGGCGGAGACACAGAAGGAGATCAACCAGATCGTACTCAAGGAGTCAACAACGGGGGCAGATGCAGGCATGACTGCAGAAGAGAGAGAAAGAGAACTACTTCGTATGCAGTTGGCCAAATCGAATGCCATCATACAGGACCTCCAGAGCAGAGTGGACTCCTATGTTGCAGCAATCCCAAAGGGAAGCCCTGCATTCAACGAGAATTCTCCACAGATGATCAAGGAACCATCTAATGCTTCTGCCCAACGAGGAATTCGAGCAGTCGGCCGCGGCAAGAGCTGTGAGGGCAAGACTTCTCCAGCGCGCCAGTGCAGTGCTTGGGGACGATGCAGTTCCCGTTCGCTAGAGAAGTACAAGCAGAAGCCCAAGGCGCGAGGGGTCAAACTCGCTCGAAAGGCTGGACAAGTGAGCAATAGAAAGTGTGACATGACAACTCAATTTATGTCTGTCAACTTTACCACCAGTTGCCGTGATGGGGACAATCGTGGCTATGATAGTTGCCCCTGTCACCACAGATATGAGTCCCACATCCCACAAGAGTTTGGCGCCGTGTTGAAGGCGACACCTTGTAGATGTTGCGAACAGAAATCGATCGCTTTTAGGAATAGAACCGGCCTCGTAGGGGATACAGAGGATTGCCGTTTGTTTGCATCCGACCAATATGAGGCAGGTCCCAGGTGTCTCAGCGATCCTGACTTGTTTTTCGCCAATGGGCCAAGTGAGCGTGGTGCAAGTGGGGACTTGGATGGCACTACGAAGCTTGACAACACTAGCGGCGGTATGGAGGTGAACTTCGAAGAACACACATGCTGCAGCACATCACACATACCTTTTTTCGCAGGCATGAGCTTTGTCTTTTTGTATGCACTCTGCGACATATTTCGGCGAACATGCCGAAAAGCCAAAGCATATCTCCTTGCTTGCCCTCTTAGAGGTTCATCAAAAAAGGGGAAATTCACTTACTGGGCCTTCATGAGTTTTGTCATGGGTATGGCCGTTCAGTTAGTGGCTTGTCAGATCATGGTCAGTGGCGGTGTGCACATCCAGCCAGACCACCTTTCGATCGTTTTACAGATCCAAGCTGTTCTCTGGTCGCTAGGTCTGTTGTTCGGACTCAAATCGATCTGGAGACGTGAGCTAATAGGTCCATGCAGAAGGCTCAGTGATTCACGCAAATCTGCAATTCGACCTAAGAGGAACTCAATCAAAATGAAAGCCGTGTTGCTCTTTATCCACATAGTAAGTTCACACGCCACGCACGTTTTCCATACGTGTGAACAGGGGACTATGACAGATATGAGCCGAGACACAGATGGTAGATATCATGCCGTATATGGTTCAGGCATTTCCGATCGTCCTGACTTTTGCGATGACTCTGCGACTGTATATAATCGAAGTTACGCCATTGAGCGGGGCGTTTTGAACAATGTCGAATACAGTGAGGTACAGACGGTTTCATCAGAGCATGAGCCGGACGAGGAAAGAATGGCCCTACCAGAGGCCGTCTCTCCACCTAGAGATTCTCTCCTCCTTTCTAAGCCTTGCGAAGGAGGTTGTAGACCACGGTCTCCACCTGGAGACACAGAAGGCCATGGTCAGTCGTCATTGTGTAGTGCAAACAGGTCGAACATTGACAGTGATTGCCAAGAGAGACATTTAGACGATAGATCCGCAGTTTTGGGCAATTTCAAAGCTGACGATGCCACCACCATTGAACAGAGGTCCCGCACGACGCCGTTACCCCTTAAAGGGACTATCGGCAGAGAGGGACATGAGTGGAGGACATCAAAGCTTAAGACTTACCCCCGGGATTTTTGCACCATGATCAGTCGGCTTTTTCATTGCTGGTTGACCGACAGGTGGGAGGTCGGCGAAAGCAACGATGTGCCCCCCTGGATTCACAAACTTGTTCTTAGCGAGGTTGGGAACGGTCAACGTGGTGCCGACTATTTCGCGGGGTCAAAGTCTTTGCAACCTAATTAGTTGAATTCGCGTGCGAGGCGTCGCGCGAGTCGAATCGCCCCAGACGCAACAGAAAGAAAGAAAGAAAGATGCTCCAAAAGGCCTGTGGCTTCATCGGTTCAATGGACAAAGACCTTGAACTTTCTTGAAGCCAACTAATCCGTGGAACCATGTCGACTGATCCGTGGATTTTGGACCATTCCCCTCCCGGCTTGAAAAAGGAGCTCCAACGCTGCAGGACTGCGAACATCGAAATTTTAAACAAGGCATGCACAGGGAATGACCAGATCTGGATCCTCCAACCATAATGCACAATGTCTGCCTTTGGGGTGGAATTTACGGCTGAAAAGACATACCAATTTGTATAGTTGGAAGATCCAGGTATTTGTAGAGTGTTGATGAAGGAAACCCACACCATGTTGGATTATAAAACCTCTTCATGTATTGGGGGGTGACATATATCTCTTCCAAACGTCCGTTAAGGACATTCACAAACACAACACGCCGAAAAAGAAACGCACGACACCGGTGGACAGCGCCTACGTGTGCCGTTGCCCTGGCGAAGCTGTGGATTGGCGTCCGAAGAAATGGATTCATATGGATGGAAACTGAACCAGTCGTTCTTATCTTTTTTCGGAGAGTACCAAATCAAGAAAGCTGAAAAGCATCTTGGATAATGTAAGTCTACGAAGTATGAGCATGGAGAGAATTCAATGGACTCTGTTGTGTTTATACACACTGTGATAGAGGGCAGAGCCCAAATGGGCCAACCCAACCATAGATTATCTCAACAACATGTCAGCCCTGTGTGTCCGTGTGCTTGGTAAAGCGCCGATGATCAAATACTGCATTTTCTGAAAAATGCTGAAGTACTATATTATTTCTTGGCCGGTGTATGCCGGTGTGAATGGAGGATAGGTGCCGATTAACTACTCACTTAGGGATTGAAAACGATCCCTTTAGATCAGTGTCCTGCATTTTGTGTTTTTTCAAGCACCAAATCAAAGTTGAATTCTGAAATGATCGAATCATAGGAGCATAGGCAGCATAGGAGCAATATTAAGTATACGATGTCAAAAATGAAACAATGGTATGCTCATGCTAATGCCTAGAGAACAAAAAAACAAAAGAAACTTGACAAGCCTCTGATCGTCTTTGTATATATTATACATAAGGTAGTACTAAGATGTACTTATAAGGTAGCAAACCAACAGACCAACAGCGCATTCCCAGGTCGGACAAACTCTGCAAATCCACAAACCGCTTGCACCAGGTCAGACCTCCGTTTGGCGACACGGTCTTCGACCTCCGAGCGCTGCGGCTTTCGTTGTGCCAAGCGAACTCCCTCTTGCAAAAAAAACACCGGGTATCGGTGGCTGAATTCATAGGGGTCTGTACTTTCGAGCGTTGGTCTGAGTCCAAATCCCTTTTCCCAGGGGGTCGTTGCCTGGGAGCTCTCCTTAATTTTTGCTGACGCCACACGCCCATGACTCTCCGATGCTTCTCACGGCCGCCTCAGACTCAGAGGCTTTGTCGGTGACGACGGTGTTGGAGGACAAAATGTCCACCTGCACGTCCACTTCCTCGGCGCCTGAGAGACGAGACGAGGAGACGAAGGACATCGGTATGAGACGAAAGGAGAGACTGGGGGAGAAGGCGACAGGAGAGCATCAAGTACTAAGTACTCTGTTTAAACAAAACAAACATGTGCAAACATCATATAAAAGCAAATCAACAAAAAGCTTCAATGCATTGGCCTGGCACTGTCCACCTTTGCTACCATGATTCTTTTCAGCTCAATCAACTGCATGACGCATCTTTGTCCGTCATTCATTTGGGATTGCGAAGCCAAAGCCCGGTTCAGTAGACCTGCTATTCTGCACAAAAGTCTCCTTTTTGGGAGGGCCCCTGTGGACCTGTGGAGCTTTTCTTAGTATCTTCGTGCGCATCATCTACAACCATAGGAAAGCAGCGGGCAAGTGCATGTCACGTCATGTCACGTCTACTAGCCCTCCACTTGAACTGGTTTCCTCTGAGTTTCTTTCAAACTGCCAACCCATCCGGTCCCCCTTAAGAGATTCAAAGGCAAGCCACTGCTGAAAGAACAAGATTGGCTTGCTAGGACTTCTGTATATAATAATATAATATCATAGTTTATTGCTATATATTGCTATATGGTAGTGTATATAAATATAATATAGATATCAGTATCAGGACCGCAAGGTTTTTGACCCTCTTCTTAATTAGAGTTCATTCTTTGCTTTCCTCAAAGTAAGCCCAGTCTCTCCTTAGTTGAGTGACCCTGCACTTGTGGGGAGAAGGGTAGATCTTCCGAAACAAGGAAACATATAAGGAAACTAATTGATTATTTCGAACATTGTCGACGTAAACTCATGACTTTTAATGCGCACATTGCGCAAGGGGGCGACCTAAGTCAAACACTCAAAGAACACGCGCAGTCACAGCAGGTCCTGTCCAGCGCAGTCGCGTACCTGTCACACTGTTCTCGAAGGGCTGGATCACATAATCACCTGGATAAATGAGTGGGTTGACTCAGCTGCGGGTCATACTTTCTCAGCTTACTCACAAGTCCTGAGAAATCCCAGGTGCAGGTATGCCCATCTTTGCCGCACTATAGGAGTGTCACACCGCTCACCGACGAAGTCATCATCCTAGCTACCCGCGCAGTCGGGCCTGTAGGGAATCCGGGAAGCATCCACCTTGCACTGTACCGACACCGCTACCGGGTAGAAATCCATGCCCCAAAACCAGCGCTTTAGAAGCAGCCAGGATCCACAGGATCTACTAGGATCCACAGGATCCACTGGAGCATAGCTGAGTCTGAGTCATGCTGAGTCTTAGATCAGATTGGACATCTGCTATCCCAGCCCCTTCTCCATCCCCGTCCTCATCATACCCGTCCCCCCGCACCTAGCTGCGTGGCCGACTCCGTGGCCGGTAGGAGCGGCACGTTGCCCAAGGTGGACAGGGCGGCAGTCTGCCGTGCGATCGATGCCTTCGGGAAAACGGTGGATCGACAAGTGGGAAATGGTCTGGACGGTGCGCCACGAGGTCTTTGGTGTTTTGGTGATGTAAGGACAACCTTCTATTCCGTGAGGCGTCCACGCCTTGCGTCATTTTGCGTCTGTTTTGGATGGTGCCAATCAGGATCTTCTGCTGAAGACCAACGCCCACCCACTCCGTCCCACTCCGTCCCATTCCCACCACATGCGAAGATCTTTTGATAGGGGTGAACACTGGCAGTCGATATCACCCCTCCAAGGCCAAGGTGCCAAGGTATCCAAGGTCGGGTTCAATCGGCACGTGATGAAATTGGTGGCCTCGTCGACGCCGTGAGGCCAACGGTCGGAGGCACCCGCGAGTCCAAAAGCTTCCGAGTCATGCGGTCGCGATCTGGTGGATGCACCGGTCTGATGGTGGACATGGAGCTTAATTACCCTGAGGACCTGAAACAAGCGCTGCCAGGCATGCGAGGTCATTCTCTTTCACCAGGCTGAAAAAATCTTCCCTCAAAAGCTGAGCCACCAGACTCTCCGTCCGGACACTCCTCCCACCACCGTCTGATAGGTCTGCGGTCTGCAGTCTGAGCTCGCCGGGCCGGCACGGAACGGATTTCGGCGATGAGGCTTTGCCAGACTTCGGAGACCTGAGGGCAGGCGAGTCGGATTCGGAGCGTCAGGGTGTTCCTTTTCAACGGTGTTGCGTCTCAAGGGAGGGAAGTTATTTGAAGCGTCACCGGTCACAAAGATTCCTCAGATCTGCTGCAATTCGGACACCAGCGCCGGCCAGCGCAAATTGGAAGTCTCAGCCAAGGAATACTTCTGATCTTGTCTGAGGACTACTGCAGGTGCAGGGCATTCAGCGAAAGGTTACAAGTTGAGGTTCACGTGCTTTATTCAAGGACAGAATGCCCACCTGGTGAAGCCCCAAATGGCACTTGGACGTAATACTATGGCTCAAAATGACCATCCTCAAGTCAAGCCTATCCTCAAGTTCACAATTGAATAGGACTGAAAAAAGAAACATCAAGAACATTCAACAACGATCAATCACTGTTCATGCAAGACATTGCAAATTCAGTCGTTGAAACATGCCACTTCATCCACAGTTCGTTGGATGTCTTCGTTACCATTCCTCGAGGCACACGACTGGAGCCTTGCTCTTTTCATCTCTTTTCACTCTCTTCCTTCATGCAGCTACCTGAGACTTATAGACCCTCCAATTCGCACCTGGGAAAATAGGTCTAGGAATCCTATCCCCTGCTTTTTATGGGGTCATGTCCCATGAGTCCCATGTTCATCCATTTCCGGTCTGGAGGGTCCAGGCTGTCCTTGGCCACCGTCTCGGGCGCCCGGGCCGTGTAAAAATCCATGCGGGAGACCCACTTGTTGGACGGCTCGAAGGCCCTGGCCATCCTGGGAAACACCACGGAAATGGGACCTGGTTTCCAACACCCATGTTATATCTATATACTTCGAGGGGTGCAACTGCTGAACTTGGAAGACGGTCCATTTTTCGGTTTGGAAATTCGCGCCGTCGGGCGCCGTCGGTGCCCGTCCGTGGGGCAGTACATGTTGCTCAAGCACTCGTCCCCAATATTTATATATTATATAGACACTCCCGACTGCCATGTCTGACGCAGCCGCTGATGAAGAAGCAACAGCAGCAGCAGCTCCGGCTGCGAGGCGCCCCGCCATCATATATCTGTTGGTTCGCACCGCCGGCACGCACATAGTACGCTGATCATGTTTGGGAGCGCCCACAAGCAACGTGATTTTGTTTGGGCCGCATCTGGACATTAATGTTTATCATTTTTGGAAAGGCTATACTTGGCACCAGACTGGTTCAGACCTCCAACCACTTCCTGATGAATTTAAGTCGTGAGGCCCCCAGCCGCCGATCGGCTGGTTTCGCTCAAAACACAGCGGCAGAACCTGAAGCGGCAGCTCCAGCAAGCGAACCGTGAGGTTCGCAATGAGGCGACCGGCGCATGATCCACATGTATTGTTGAAATTTGATGCAGTATTGTGTTGCTTGTGCTTCCGACTTGCGCGCGGCGCGACTCATGCGGCGCGCTGGCAAGTTGAGCTCTGCTGATCTCACCTGGCTGCTGGCGCGTCGAGTGCAATCTGAGCAGTCTGAGCAGATGTCCACATAGCTATATTGCAGGGCACATTGGCAGTGTTTGGGGAAAGAGAGACTTGCGCCCATGTGCTAGCTTTTGTTGACAGCTAAGCTGACAACTGCTGAGCGGGGGCTGTCAGAGCAACCTTGCTGAAGTGGCCGTGCTCGCAGAAGCCGGCGCAAGCGATAAATATGTCACCTGTCACCCACGTGCTAGCTTTTTGTTTACAGCTAAGCTGACAACTGCTGAGCGAGGGCTGTAAGAGCAACCTTGCCGAACTGGCCGTGCTCGCAAAAGCTGGCGTATGCTGGGCTAGAGTCCCTCACATCTCTCCCTCTCACGCTGTCTAGGCTTGCTAGTCTCTCTGTCTAGGCTTGCTGGGCGACGCGGTGGGGCATGTTGGCGTTGCCTTCAGTGTTAGATACCCCCATGGTTTCGGTTTTCGGCTGCTGGGGTCCGATTGATATGCACACTGGACACATGGATCCAAACTTTCATTCGCATTAACCTCGGCCTTCTCAGTGCCGTGCGGTGTCCGCACTTTGGGGGAGTTTGGAAGTTGCGTTCGAGCGTGCTTTTGCGCGCCGGGCGACCTCAGGAACAGAGCTTGGAAGCCGTCACCTTGCTGAACCTCTGTCTGATTCGATCATCATGTGGCTCAGTCACAACATATTGAAATGATCAGCTCCATCTCAAAACAGAGAACTTCCATTTTTCACTCAATAGTCGAAGAGGAACCGCAGTGTCACAAGTGATGTGTAGAAAATGCAAAAACACACTCATTTCCTTTAACCTCTTGCATAGTGTCCCATAGGTACCGCCAATGCGTGCGCTACTTGTGGAATCAGTTTTCGTGGCACGCACAGGGGACCTCTTTGCGTGGCATGCGCAGCATTTGGTGAACCTCTGATTCGATTTTTCGGGGCAGGCGCAGCGTTTGTTAAACTTCTAGCTCCACTTTTCGTGGCAGGTGCAGCATTTGGTGAACCTCTGTTTCCATTTTTTGCGGCAAGCGCAGCATTTGGTAAGCTTCTAGTTCCACTTTTCGTGGCAGGCGCAGCATTTGTTGAACCTCTGATTCGATTTTTCGGGGCAGGCGCAGCGTTTGGTAAACTTTAGTTCCACTTTTCGTGGCAGGCGCAGCTTTTGGTGAACCTCTGTTGCCATTTGTCGTGGCAGGCGCAGCATTTAGTGAACTTCTTGTTCCATTTTTCGTGGCAAGCACAGCATTTCTTAAACTTCTAGTTCGATTTTTGGTGGCAGGCGCAGCGTTTGGTGAAAACCTGCTTTCATGTTTCGTGGCCGGCGCACGGAATTTGAAGCTCCAGGTGGCCCAACGTGTGGCCAGACGCTGAATCGTAACGTTGGAATCCAACGTTATGCTCGTTTTACGTGGCAGGCGTGGGACAAAAGTCGAAATCGTAACGTTGGACGCGTTTGAAAAAGATTATAGTAATTCTCTTTTTTGAACCGAGTCCAACGTTATGATTTGCACTTTTTTGTGAAACTGTCGCCGAAAACGGATCGTAACGTTGGATTCCAACGTTATGATTTGCGTTTTCGTGTGGGGAGTACTCCGATTTTGGCCGCGCTGGCTGTGCTGAAAGTGGAGATTTCGTGGCAGGCGCAGCGCTTTGTGAACCTCGAGGTGCCGATGTCGTGGCAGGCGCAGGGCTTTGTGAACCTCCAGGTGCAGATTTCGTGGCAGGCGCAGCGCTTTCTGAACGTCCAAGTGGAGATTTCGTGGCAGGCGCAGCGCTTTGTGCACCTGAAAGTGCAGATTTCGTGGCAGGCGCAGCGCTTTGTACACCTCGAAGTGCAGATTTCATGGCAGGCACAGCATTTTGGGAACCTCGAAGTTCGAAGTGGAGATTTCGTGAACCTGAAAGTGCAGATTTCGCAGGAGGGGCAGCATTTTGAGAACCTCGAAGTGCAGAGTTCGTGGCAGTCGCAGCACTTTGTCAACCTCTAAGTGCAGATTTCGTAGGAGGGGCAGCGTCTTGTGAACCTCGAAGTGCAGATTTCATGGCAGGCGCAGCACTTTATGAACCTCGAAGTGCAGGTTTTGTGGCAGGCGCAGCGTTTGGTGAACCTTTGCTTCCATTTTTCGTGGAAGGCGCAAGCTTTGGCGCACTTTTAGTTTACTCAAACTGTGGTTCCTGCCAAACAAAACGCACCAAGTTTAGGACTCTATGATGGTAGTTGTATATAATGCACGCAACTGTAAATCATCACTAATCATGTCCAAGGCCATGGCCACGTCGAAGTCCTCCGGATCCGCTTCGCCCGCTTCGTCCTCTTCGTCCTCTTCATCAAGCCATGAGGAGGAAAAACCATCTGTGACTTTGGGCAACAGCGACACTTCCACAGAGGCTGAGAATGCACCAGCTAAAGCGAGGGCATATGCTGGTATGTTTACTTGGCCATGTCCGCGGCATTTTTTCCAAGACTTGGAAGATCGACGAGCAGCAAAGGTCCTTAAGCCTTGTGATGTTTCCAAGGAGAAACTGTTGGAGGCCTTCACAAAAGCGCTGAAGAGCAAAGGTTACTTGCACAATCTTGTGAAGGCTGCCGTGGCGGATGAACCGCACAAGCATTACCAGCCCGATGGTGCTTCTCGGGAAAGACACAAACACCTCATCTTTCTGTTTCGAGCTCCGTTTGTGCACGCTGGCGTTCGCAAGCTGTTGGCCGAAGAGTTTGGGCACCATGGATTCTTCACATTTCATCGCGCGGGCTGGTGCGCCTATCTGGATTACCTGATGATGGAGAGCGCAAAGAAACCAGCGCATGATTTAGACCGTGACCTTGTGTTTTATCCGTCAAGTTACACCAAGCAGAAAGCTGATGGCGAGCTTGCAGGGATGTCCTCGCAGGTGGCTGGCAGAAAGAAGAATGAGGGGCTGCAGAAAGGTCCGTCGGAGGCCTTGCAGAAACGACGCCGGCGCATGTCTTTTAGCGAGCTTACAGACTTTGTTGTCGAAAGGAAGATTTCAACAGTGGCAGAGCTATGGAAGGCCTGGCACACATACAATCTGGAGACTGTTTTCCATCAAGCGTAATATCAGTCTTAGATAAGCATCCTCCTTGGTAGAAACAACGCGGTTGGAACGACAAGGTGCATCATAGGCAGTCCAATGTTTGGTCCAATCACTTCGTTGGGGATGCCGCGGGTTTTGTGGTCATGCCCAAAGTGCTTTGTTTATAATTCCCTCTCATCGCCAGGCCGCCAAAGAGGAAAAGATGCGTGGCAACTCTTTGGTTTGGGACCATGTGGGGCAGCTTCGGGATCCAGCTGCGGAAGTGCAGAAAATCTTGGCTGCGTGGCACCGACCTGAAACCTTGGGGGCTTCAACTCTTATCACCTCAACACGCTTTCCTTTGGAGCACTTTGATGTACCTCCACGGGTCCTGCAGTGGAAGGAGACCCAATCCCTCACCCATACCTTAATCCTGCGTGGTCCGCCTGGGACTGGGAAGACTGAAATGGCTATATCCGTGCTTTTGTCCACATGCCGCGCTGGCATCCACTTTGTCAGCAAGCTTGATCAGATGCATAAGATCACCGTGCACCCAGGTGAGGGACTTGTTGTCGATGAGGCTTGTTTCAGGACAGTGAGCATTGATGATGCGAAAGCTTGGTGCGATGTGACTCACGCACGCGATGTGCACAACCGTTGCTCTGACGGACACATTCCAGCGCAAACGCCAAGGATCTTCACTACAAACCATGAAGTCCCACAGTTTTGGCCCCCAGAGTATTTTCATTCCAGTCATCAGGCTGCAATTGATCGGAGAACTGTTTGGGTTGACTGCCCAAACAAGCTGTTCAAGGACAGGGAAGCAACGTGCAAGGGTAACAACGTAACGTTACGAAGCGCCATCCAAGGGAGGTGTTTTGCCCCCCAAAAGTGTGTAACGCAGGTGGTCAGCGAGGTTCATTGAATCTCCTTTGAATGGCCCTTCCCAACGTTATGTTTTGGTTGTTGGAAATTCCAAGTTGGAAAGTGTTTTTCTGGAATGCCTGGCCCTTCGCAACTTTACTTTTTTGCTGGAATGGCCCTTCTCAAGGTTGAGTTTTTTGTTACTGAAATTGCTTCCCACACTGTGCGGTGTTACATCTGATGTTTTGTCGCTGAGGCTATATTTCCAACATTATGCACTGTTAAATCTTGTGCTTTGTTCATGTTCCGTTTCCCTCCACAACTGCATTCCCAACTGGCGCTTGATCTTGGGCTGGGTATTCTCGGATTACCTGGCAAGGAGCCACAGGCTGATTCGGACGCCTG